TTAAATGGTTAAAATGTTGTTAATTTTGCCATTTTAAATTGTCAAAAGGCATCTTTTTTTTTATCGTTGTGAATTACCACCTTCGATAACCCAGAACCAGACCTCTTGATTGATCAGCGCATTTTTAGATTTACCCTTTGGTAGTTCAAATACGTGGTTTACTCATGGAGATTTATTGTGCGGTACGATTAATCATTTACATTTACTTTTTTCAGACCCAAACCACTTCGTATATGTGAAGTCAGTGTCTTAGGTTAGTGTTGTAGTGATTTTAAACTTTTAACCTGATACTAGAGTGCAAGACACAGCTAAATACCTATCTTTATGCAAAAACGTGAGAGGTAAACGTGCGCATAATCGAGGCTCTATTCATCTCTCTGAAGCATAAAGGTCTCTAGAACCTGACACCCAACCAGATAGTCAAATCAAAAGCGCCACAAGGATCTACTAGGGTTTTATCTTTTCAGTTTTACGGCATGCCAGGAACCCGATATTTTACATGTACGTAACGATTCTTCTCGGAAGGGCAGTTCTCAGTTGTCATTGCTTACTTATAGATATCTGTAGATAGCGATTGACGATTAAATTCATTTGTCATTCTCTCAAAGCCCTTTCCACAATTCAACGTTTGCATGCAATTATATATTTTTTTCTCAGCAAAGATTTGTTCGAGCATTTCTGCTATTTCTTCGGAACATATAGACTTCTGAAAATAGGAAGATGTTTACACAATCCCATAAAGACTGCTAATTTTGATGCATCAATCAATTGATATTAGGAAGATGAGTAGCTGCCACATTCTTCTCCCCCTGTTTTGGTGATTGTGGCACCAACGATACTATAGCAGCCCCTCCCAAGCCTTGCTGTCGGCTGATATTTGTCGAATTTGTCGTCAAGTAGTTTCTGGTTGCAACCAATTTGGTAATTGGTAGAGGCGCAACCTGAAAGCAGCAGCTCTCTATTGACGTCGTGACGGCGGTGGAAGAAGTTGTGGTAGAGGTGTTGGTAGAATTTCCTGCAGGCCCGTGTTGAATGGAATGCATAGTGGACTGGTTGGGGAAAACTGGTACACAATTGAGTCCTTGGAAATTGGGGAACGGTGTGGAGGCTTGGGTGGATGTGTAGGCATTCTGATTCGTTTTCAGGCTCGGAAGGGTACCGTCAGTTTGCTAAACAATACAACAGTATACTTTACCCGTTGGCAATGTATAGCACGTCAACTTTCATTCAATTCGCATGACCTAAATAGTCATTTTCATTTAGTTACTTCCTAACAGCTATAAGCTATAAGGCAAAATGTATCAAAATTAGCAAAATACAACCTATTTATCAGATTCTTGCTGGTACTTGCTCATGACGTTTGTTCAGTAGCATCAGCGCCACTTTATCCAAATTCTCTAGCCTAGTAAAATTCATTCTAACTTGTAGCAATGGATTCTCCATCATACTCCTGCATTATGCTTCGTCTCCAAAGCCAACTTGAACAGTAAGCAGTGCTGATGTGGGCTTAATAAAGTCATGAAGCTCATACTCATCTTACATTCTGTTTCAGTCCTCCAACTGGTTGCGTGCCTGGAACAGTCTTCCACGCTGGCATAGGGTTTACACAAAATCCGGTCGTTCGCAGACCCACATTAGTAGCGCAATGTTGCTGTTGTACGCCACCAGCCACAGAGGCACCAGTAATACCAAAGTTAGAAATCCCACCAAGTTCAGTTTTTGGCCACGCGGCGAAGGGATGGTAGACGCTACCGCGAACGATCTTAGCCTTTCTAGCATAGATTCCGACTGGTGGTACTTTAGTTCGATTTTCTGCAGGGAGGCCGACACGGTATATGTTGGTTGCTATGCTGTCTCCGGAAGGGCTTACCGCAACAGTGGTGGAGGGAAGCGGCGAGACGATAGAAACGGAGGTGAGAAGAGCTGCACCCTCCAAAAATTTATGCTTTAACAAGTACTCGGATGTTGCTCGTTCCATAGGATCCAGGTGGAAGCAAGCCTATTAAGGGATTCAGGTGCTTGTTCAACTATTTTAGAGGTTCTACATGAGAGTTATGAAACTGACTTCAACTAGGTACCATTTTGCATTACCAATTGGACTCTAACAACGGCATTTCATCACATCAGGGGTATTTTCTTTATCTATGAGTAATTAATGCCATGAAATATACTTCTCTAATGCCACACTTTGAGAACGGATCAGTTAAGAACATTGGATCTGGAGTACTATGACAGACCGCTGCAACCCCTGGCAAAGCGCTATCATGACGACCGGAAGAATCATAACTAAAGCGTCGAATAAAAGGCGCCTTTGCACAAACGAAGCTCGTTGCCCCTTTCCATTCAACTACAAAGCATGGCACCCGAAAGGCAGCGCGTCAATGGACAATAGTTTTTTATGCACACAGGTGTAATATATTCTAGTTGTTTAAGTGGACCTTTATAGGTGAGAGGCGGAAACCAATTTTGGAAGCGTGGATCACGTGCGCGAGGTCGACGAGGAGCTTCCCTGCGATTGAGACCTCCTGTTCATCACATCTGTATCTTATTCCCCTATCCTTCTTATAGAGATGCCTAATAAATCGTCTACAACCAACTTCCCCTTAAAGTCTGAGAACCAGGGACCAGAGGGTAGACAGGCAGTTACTACAACAGGAAACTGAGTTTATAGCCATTTAAAAGAAAAAGTGTTTTAAAACTTCCAAATCAAAAATTTTGGTATCTGTGTGTTTTCGGCAGTATTATGTCATTTTATTAATTAGACCACCTGTATGACTGGCGGTCACTTTCATATTTATCTTGCGTTTGCGGTCACAGGCTTGCCTTAGCGTTAACTTAAAGCCAACTCTCTCGTTTTCCTTCAATGTTTGTATGTATTTAGTGCTATGTAATGCCTTTTTCGGTCTTGTGGGAAGTCTCCGGACGCCACAAGTGCCATTGTTGTATGAATATGAATGTTAACCCGTTCATGTGGGGACAATGTTCTCTCTGAACATAAAGTCGTAGCTACATGTCGGTACAGCCACGAATAATACCATATTTATGTTCATGGCGTCAAAACCTCGCTGCAATTGTATTCAAAAGGCAAAGATGGTTAAAGCGGTTGCATAAACCGAAATGGATTTTGGCCTTTAAAACTACACATGCTACTGTCGCATGTATAATACAAAAATAAATAAATTCTTTATTGTGATTTACAAGTTCCTATTTAACACAAATAATTTACCCGCAAGAAATCCAGTTCAAATGCTTCCAATGGGGGTTGAAGGGAGGAGAACTTCTTATCCAGACTTTCCTAAAAAATGCAGTAGCAAAAGTAAAAGTAACTACGAATTTTCTGCTTAAAGCTTACGAAGTTTATCACAGCAGTATTTTCCATTGGACCAACTTTTATTAATCTAGCATGAACAGCGATGACCTTGAACAAAACATCCAGGACTTTTCAACTATAGTATAACGCCAGCTGTCCCGAAGTTGTCACCATAGTTCCTAATTACAAGAGAGCCTCAGTCAGCTTAAATGACAGCATATTGTGATAATTTTCAAGATGTAATAATGGCAAAAGATTAACTTTTTCTACTTAATTCAGCACGCTATAGATGGACTGCGCAGCTTAATCGAGGGGGAAAATCTTTTGTGAGGAAGTGCACACAGCCGGTGATAATTAGTCGTGCATTTCTAAAAAGAGCATTATTTTATCTGCACTTAGAGTGAACAGTCAAGTTTTGTATCGCCTGCCTTAAAGTCCCGTCACCTTATAACAAATTTAGTGGTTCTGCATCGTCCTTATCTTTGAATTTGTATTCGACGGATCCGGTTTATCACGAAACCTGGTAGGATTTAATACTACTAATGGAATGTTAGTAGTGGACATTACCATTATTTTTGGCTCTGGTAGTTGATGCCCCTTAAAAAAGGCATTAGTTGCAAAGATTTCTCGATGCCGAGGCAAAATATCACCTAAAATAGATAGCAAACATGTAAATTGAATAAGAGTCATCTTGTATTTAAATGGAATGAGAACCAAATTTTCTTTGAGCACTGTGCCGCACTTCCAATAGTTTTATTCCTGTTTGTTGTCTTGTCTCAGTACTCGTTTGTATTATTCAAGTCATTTCCTTTTGAGGGAATCGCTTAATTCTGGTCTTGTGGCAACGCTGTAAGCACGGTAGAGATGTGTATGACCCCGTCTCAATAGAAAATAAGCCTCAATGCGGAGACGTCATCGATGCACCTCTATTTACTAGTTTAAATGATCGTGCATTATGTTACTGTTTGGCTAAAGAGCCTGTTACAAGTTCAATAAGGCGTTAACTGTTCGGTAATATGAGAACGTTGAGAAGTTTGCACGGGATCTTGCGTACCCGCCAAATGGGCTGTTCAAGTTTGGAAACGACTACCTCAACAATTCCCATATTTTGATCATCGTAAAGAGCCCAATTCGACCTTGTAAATCACAGGTAGGATCACCTTGCAAAAGAAGGACTTTTGAATTGCTCAAAGTGAGCAACCATCTAGCATGCAAAGGCATCTTATTAGGGTTACCTTGTTTTTGTAGCACAAAGTAAATTATGCGCAGACAAGGAACAAAGCTATTATAGGTTGTCTCCATACTTCAGCCTAACACGGGCACTGCACGTTTGATTTCCTACTTACTAATTAAGAAAAACTTTCTCCAAACTTCCAACGCCAATAGCGCCGACGGTAAATTCAATTCCGATAAATTTTCCCTCACAAATCTGGTGAACCATTGTTTGTTTGGCGGAAAAGACGTCTTTTACCATTGTTTTGATGCGGTTTTATAGGTCTTCCTGTCAGTTCTTAGAAACAAATTAACTCTGCGAATAAGTTTTGCAAGGCCTCAACTTTGCATCGTAGGGAATATTGACAAAAGTTAAACAATTTACGAATTACAACGTGAGCAGAAGTTCAAAAAAAGAAAAGACTTTCAATCTAAAGCTCACTTCGTCCCGTTTATTACATTACATAATCCGCATAAGAAATAATGCCAAAGGGGAGTAAAGAAGCAAAACCAAACATCTGCGACGTTACAAAAGGCGCGGGAGGTGCATTAATCAAGGTGTTCAGAGAAAAAATAAGCCAGAACGAATACAATAATGGAGTTTCTGTATTTAATCTGAAACGGTAGAAGTCTTAACTCACTGACTACTTAAAAAGCAACGATTCACTTTCATGCAAGCACTTGCTGACCTGTAGGAGAAGTCAGACATGGAAAAATAGAGCCTCACAGGCCAGTCTCAACGCTGTAGGCCACCTTTTTAAGAAGAGCAGGCACAGGTATGATTTGGTGCTAAGTAATTAACCACTATAAGCGCCGTAAGTCACCTGGCTTGAATCTAAGCAATCTCACTGCCATTGACTAAAATTCGTCTCATTTGATACATGAAACAATAAGTTAGTAGGAATTGTTGACAAAGAAATGCCCAACCAGTGTACAATTATGGTCCATCAACCACTGGAAGGACCTTTGAGTTCAACATCTAACAAGCACAATCTGCGCTTCTTGTACAAAAGCAACTGCTTTATCACGCATGACCCATCGAAATTAAAACAACTTCACTCAAGTGGGTAAGGAAGACAACATTTCGCGTTCAAGTCAAATTAAACCACAAAATTTTGTTGTCAAAAGACACAAAGTAATATCTTTTACATTGCAGAACTTAAACGCACAAAATTTCACAGTCCTGGTATTTGGCATTAAGGACTTCTTTCAAGAGGCCTGTCTTAACACCGCAAAAGGTCAAAACGGGTAAAAAGTGTGGCTTATCGGCAATTTTCGTGTTCAGTACTTTTAAATGTTTTCTTTTCTAGTAAAAAACGAAAATTGCCCTGCTTTGCTTTTTTAACAGTCCGAATCGCCAGAATTGGGTGAAAATCATTGGGGCATTGCAAAGTAAGTCCTGCGGCAATGGTAACCGACTGTTGGTTACAAACTTGGTGTTTTAGCAGTGCCATAGGCATTAGGCTTTTGTTACTGCGACTGAGCCTCAACCTTAGAGTATTTGGCTCTTCTCAGTGTGCTAGTCCAAACCTTTGTCCTCTTTACGCCTAGAGTTAGAGTATAGAAAAAGTCGTGACAATGTTGACACGCTGTTAGCAATGTGACAAGTACGCATTGAGCGCCAGATCTCTCACGAAAAGCCAAAATGCATTAGTACAGTGACAAGGCAACTATGACTACAATATAGAGGAACTGAGGTGCTACTGACGTGGTGTGGGGTCACACAACTTAGCTTTGGCACTACCTGATTGCAAACAGACTCAATCATTTACCAAAGGCTAACGCTAGAGGCCTTAATTTTTACAACTTTTCGACCCACTGAATGAGCACTTGTCTGTCTCTGAAAGAATACTTATTATAAATTCCACGTAACGTTTCGCATGAATTGATATTTAAATAGGGAATTAAAAAAGTGAATATTTGGAATGGAGAAAATTTTGCTAATCTACAGTAACTAAACGCCTTTGAAGGCAGCTAAAGATG